TTTTTGTTGACCTTTGTCCATGGAAGGTCCCTGCAAAATTTCATTGAAATTGGTTCAGGGGTTTTGGAGAAGAAGTCGAAAATGTAAATTGTTTACGGACGCACGACGGACGACGACGGACAAAAGGCGATCGCAATAGGTCACTTGAGACTTTGTCTCAGGTGACCTAAAAATGGTGGACCTTGCAAACGGCCAATCTAAATATCTTGATCTGTAATAAAATGACAAAATCATTAACTAAGAAATGTTATGGACCCCACTTTCAAACTTAATGACATGAGTTTTTAGGTAATTAATATATATTTAAGACTCAGGCAGAATGTCAAAAAACATTGAGAACTTCTGATGTTTAGGGTAGACTACCAACTGAAGTTGTAGTATCAAAAAGGAGAAAAAAGAAGAAAAATTTGCTCAATACCTAAAATTTATGCTGAAATGAATATTTTAAAATGATAGCACAACATATGTAGTTAACTGATGCAGACTGATTTGACAAAAATAAATAGAATTGAAATTTTTGTAGGTTCATTTTGGCATGAAATATAGTACCGGTTTACCTATTATAAAATATATATATCAGTTAAAAAATAAAAAAACAAAAAGATAAACACTTTACTTAGGTAATGGGGTGGTTCACTTAATACCTATTCCTTCTTTGCGTATTGCAGTGTTATCTTCTCTTTTGAGCAGGGATTGATTGTTACGTCATTTGTTTGTAAAAGTAACGTCATTAATTTTTGAGAAAACAACATCATTTTCTCACACAAACCAATGACGTAACAATTAATACCTGTTCACAACAGAAGATAACACTGCAATACGCAAAGACAGAATATAAGGCCTGACGTCGCATAATACTTACAAATAATTCACAAGACATTTTCTAGGATCCTCATTAATTTTTAACAGATGTGATTCAGATTCTGGAGAATTTGTTTCCCCCTCTGAGATGTTGACACTATTGTGCCTTATTCCATTGTCCTTCTCCACTGGTGGTGTAGTCCTAATATCAACCTTTGGTTGTAAAGTTGTTTCATGTAACACATTAGTTGCTGTTTTATTGTCTGAACTTCCAGCTAATAACTTATTTTCAACTTCGTTATTTTTTGGGTATTTAAACCCTCTTTCGGGAAATTTTCCAGAATTTTCAATCAATTCTCTTGTCTTTGTGGAGTTTTCCAATTTCACAACAAAAGGTAATTTTTCCACTTCTACATTCTGCGAGTATTTTATCACTTTGTCTGAACGATTTCCGCCAAACGTGTGGAAGGTTAACGATCTTGTATTATTGCCGACATGCGGTAAAATCCATTCCGTTGACTCCACCAATCCATGTTGCCACGGTGATGCAACAGGATATGGTGTTTTTAGCATGGTTTGAAATCGGAAGTTAGCAACTTCAACAAATGTAGATGCTTAAACCAGTTAAAAAAGATAAATCTGAATATTACCAAATGTATTAGTACAAACTAAAGTTTAGTTAAGAATATTTTTACATTTTTTTTAAATTCTTTAGTTCCGAAAACACACAAAACAAAAATCATTATCTCTATACAATAAACTTATTCACTAGACATCATAAATGGTTTCTTCACATTTGATCAAATGCAGCTAGCCAACAAGGTTCAGAATATTCCAACATTTTTAACATCAGTGTGTCCAACACGAATTGGTAAATCCCATATTCACACATTTTGTATCCCCATGGAATGACATTGCCATTTAACTGGCCACTGGTCAAACACCGTTTTGAAAAGCCCTGACAGGAACAATATCAGAACAACAACTTGGTCACAACAAAATAGTGACCTCAGATCGCTCTATGATAGTATCATACACTGGAAATATTACACAAATCTCCCTGCACTACAGGAAAACACCACCCAATTAACACATTATGATTCTAAATTGAGACGAGCCATTTCACACACCTTTAAAATCCTTTCACGTTTACTGCACTTGGTAAACGAACTTTAATGGAAGTCGCTCGAGCATTCAGTTTCCGAAGATCTCTCGTACAAAGCCTTTCACTGGGCCAGACATTTAATCAGCGGAATCTCCAGTAAAAACTGTTTACACTAGTATATAAACACAGTGAATGGCAGGTTATATATTGATTGCCATCTTTTCACTAGGAATTTTAATGCATGCCTAAAGAAAATATAACACAAAGTTCCCATGTTTTGTAAGCTTTCGTACACAATAAAATAAAAATAAAATTTAAAGAGGTATTTTGTCAAGAAAATTGCATTGTATTTTTCCTTCTGTGTTGAAAATGATCACCAATCTGCATGTAATTTGATACGGAATAAATATTGAAAATAAACCTATTTTGAAAACTATTTTTTTTTAAACTGAAATAATTAATACCCTGAATAAGCTTGATTTAAGAGCTGACCCAGTAAAATGTGTCAGCCGTTAAGTAGTATGGATATCAGAAATGTTATTTAGGTCATATCAGTGTACCCTGATTTCAGGACAGTATCTAAATTTGTCACTTTTCCCAATTCTCTTAAACTATTCTTTGTTGAAGACTGCATAATTTTGGAATGTTCTTAGAATGTTAATTTGTGTAGAAATATTATTGCTCTTGCAAATGCTTTAAAAAATCGAAAATTGAATGAAAAGCATCTTTTAAAAAGAATGTAAAAAAACATTTAATATACACCATTTCCCATATACAAATTAATCTGATTGACCACTTTAAATAAATAATTTGAAAGATTCCTTTTCCATACTTGGTAAATTAAAACTCACTAACATTTGGGAAATCTGATGATCATTCATAACAACTCTGAATACATGAAATAAGACTTTTTAACTAATATATCAAAGCCAATTTGATCAACATGATCACGCTGTCCTTAGCATATATGCTGCATTTTGAGAAGTCTGTCAGTCAAAAGTAATCTTGATTTATGTATTTATTTTTTAAGATTTCCCAATTTGGAATCTCTAAAGGGACAAATTGGAAAAATCAACCATTTTTCAATCTTTTAAACAGAGCTAAAAAGTACCCTGCTAAACCCCTGTCATATTTCATAGACTGTTTAGTATGTTATCATTCATTAACTTCCAATGAGTGAAGGAGATTACAATGGAATGTTCTACACGGATATAGACAGATGTTTGTAACATGTTTACCTAGACGGACACCTTAATTATCATAAAAGCCTGGTTACTGACTAGATCCTGGTGTTTCATGGCCAGATTTTCATGGAAAATTGAATAGTTTTCGCAGAAATTTAATCAACCAATAAGTTTTTGTGGAAAATCTACAGCCGAGCAATAAGCTTATAGCTAAAGTTAAGATTTTTTCTTATAAGTAAATATAAAAAGGCATTCGTGAAATTGAAGTTGGCAAGTGTTATTTTTAAATCAGTGACATGATGGAAAGGCAAGTGAGTTATATATGCTCTGGTGTTTTTTCTAAAGTCTATTTGTTTGGCATATTTTAAATGTCAACGATTGTCTTAAAACTTAAAGTTTCTGCTGAATAATCAAGAGGTATATTTAAGGTACACAATATTTTGTCAGTAGCACACTGGGATATGGAGGTTTAAATTAAAGCCATTGACCCACTTCAACCGTCACAGAGTGTTAAAACTTATAAACACTTTCTGCTGGATAGATATGGTATACTCCAAGTCTGTGGCGTAAAGGCCTTATAATGGTCATGATATTTGGCCAGTAGCATGCTGGAATGAAGTGCTAACAAATTTGTTCAAATTGATGACTTTGACTGACCTTCAAGGTCACAGTGGTCAAATATATTAAAATCTATAAACAAATTTCTAAGGTCCCTAAAAAAACAAAGTAGTAACTTTTGGCTTTTGAGCTTGCTAGAATATCATACTAGTAAGTCTGGTGAAGTGCTAGGTAGCTTGTTATTCAGACTGTATAAATAAATCAGACCTTAACTCATTCACCCTTGACATTTCATAATGAACTATTCCAACCATTGAATTGGAAGAGCTCAAATGTGTCTTCAGGGGTGAATGTCAGTTCACTCAATTGGAAGTCACAGATGTGAGTTGAATTACAGGTGACCAATACCAGCCAATTGTGCCTCTTGTTTTTTGGGGTTTTTTAAATAGTGTTGTCAGTGGAATGAACACACAAAGTTGGTAGTTATTCAAACTTCTCTCTATTTTTGCCCCAATAATGTTGACCAGACTTCGGCCACACACAACCAACCTCAATATTACATCTCTTAACTTTGAAGATTTTATTTATATTTTTTTTTTTTTTAAACAGGCTTTTCAAACGTATTACTAAATTTGGCCCTGTATATTGACAGTCTCTCAAATGGTAGAGCTTGAATGATTATGTTTTCATATTTCTAACAGCAACATCTAACAGACACCGGGAACTAACTGTTCAACTCACTGGCTTGTAACAGAAAAAATCCTAGCTCTAAATAATTTAAAACTTTAAATATTTAAATTTATGTTAACTATCTTACCCACCATATGTGCATCTTGTATAATGAAATTTCAAAATTATTTTGGCAAATAACGTACTGGTTTTGACTCAAACTCAATCGACCATTATGAAATTTGAAAGCCAAGTTTAATACTGTAATAGCAGTGGAAAAATGCACAGCCAGACCGGGGTTCCAACCTGGGACCCTCCGAATGCTAGACGTACGCTCTACCTATTAAGCTACCTGGTCTCCAACAATCGACTCAGTCCAGTTCAGCTACAATACTATATGACAGCATAGCCATACTTGAATTTATAACTAATATCAAATCATTAAAGTTCATAATACAAAATCATCTGATGAGGATATATATGTATTGTTCGTGCCTAAAATCAATTTAGGTGCTATTAATTATGCTAGCATAACTAGACAATGGCCGAGGTGTTAGAACTTATAAAATACAATATTGAGGGAAATGGGAGAGGCACAGCATATGTTGAACCTTCAAAACACCTCATCAATATCACAGGGAGAATGGAACACTACAACGTACCCTGTTATACAATACAACTAGATCGAGAACAAGTAGGGTGTGGTACATCCTGGTACAATACAGCATTCAGATCGATCCATTACCACTTGACAAGATAACAGACCACCTTTGTGTAGATCATTCAAGGTAAATAACAAACAATCAAGGCTACCCGGATCACTAGAATACAAGAGAGAATAAAACAAAATTAAAGTTAAGGTGGCTAACACCATTACTTTTGTATAGACCTACAGAATTTGTGTAAAGGTAGAATACTCTCTAGGTAGAAGGGAAAAGATCAAAGTTAAGGTGGCTAACACCATTATCTTTGTAAACACCTACAGTTTTTGTGTAAAAGTGGAATATGTTGGGTAAACGGGTAAAAACTAGAATGTCTCCCCTTAATAACTCTGTATATAGTGGGGCACGAGACCTCGTTCCAGTGCACTACACACCTTCTGTGGGTGATACATGCAATTACCTAAAGTTTCATCAAGATATCTTTAACGGTTAAAAGTTATGGCCCGGACAAGTTTGATAAGAAGAAGAAGAAGAAGAACCAGTACTAATACAATATGTCTCCCTTCATTCGAAGTGGAGACATAATTAAAGGAGACTGCATGTACCGCAAGTTTCACAATGGCTGCTTTTTTTGATAACTTCCTGTATTTTTCAAATGTCCCCAAGTATAGTGTGATATGTACATACATAGGATGACAGAGGAAACCCCTCATCAAGTTATATGCATCGAGATATAGTATAATTGTCCAATTCTATATCCCTCACAGCTTAAAATCTATCTAACCTTCTGTAATGTTGAATGCTTTTGACTTACTTTGTATCTCCGGTCATGGTTTAAAGCTGACTTCTTAATCATCTATTCATAATTAATCCCTACCTAATCCACACAATGATCAAATGACTTTCAGCAATATAATCCATACAAGGAAACAAAATCAGCAAAATAAAATGGCAAGTTACTGTCCAGCTGAAAACCTTGTGCACAACTAATCAGATTTAATCTGAAGTTCATTTGACCAGCTATTAAACTTCAACCTTTTTACTTCAAATCTTTTTTCACAGACTGACATTTGATTACCACCAGTTAAATCTATATATACAGAATCTGCATGTCGTATTTACACCAGCTTAAAGGAATTAAAGGTTTATATACCAAAGCCAACTTCTGTTATGATTAATGAATAAATAATTCAATATGATTATTCTTGTGTTTGAATTTGTATTTTCATGAATGGTAAAATCTAGTTCAAAATAGAGTTGAGCTTTACGGTACTTTTATGAGAAATAAGAACGATGAAGTTAAAGCGATAATCAACAACAGAGTTTTTAGTGTAATATAGCAGGGCCAGATCCGGATTCGAACCCCTGACTTCAGATTGTTATACCATCACTCTAACCCATTGAGCTACCTGGTCGACAGAAGTGTTCTGCTGAAACTTTCGACAGTTATATCCAAATGAAAGTTAGGTGGAGGCTACTGTATAAGGGAAAAACCCCATTGAACAGTGGGACTGGGATCCCTAAGCAATTATTCACATTCACAGGATTTTAGGTTTTCCCTGCCCCGGCCCGTTGACTAGTTTTGGTACATCTTTCCTTAAACAGCTTGAAACACCTTGACGTAATATATTTTGTGGTTTTCTATATAACATTGTAATGTTCCAGTACAATATATCGAATTATATCGTAAAACCTGTTTACTTAGAATGGAACACACAACAGCATGCGAGGAATTGTGCTGGATTTGAACCTAAAACCACAGAAAGTTTACCAATTGCAACTGATCAAGCTTATAGCAACCTGAAGTTAATGACAATTGACCCAAGTCAGTGCTGGTAGTCCTATTACATTCCAAAATGAATAACAAATTCCACTAACAACTTACTTCCTAAATCTGCATGCTATTTCATGAACCTGGACTACAACCTGAATATAAAAGTGAATTCTATCTGAAAACCTAATTCCATAA